AAACAGTCAATTCCTGTTGGTGGTTGGCTCCGCTCCAGCCTCAGCTCAAATATTACCGCCTTGGGAACCAAGTCACATTGACACAAGTCATGGAGGATGCCTTGGCAAAACAAACAACGCTGCTGACAGTTACAAAGGGTGGTGATACAGACTGTGTTCGTAATAATAGAGAGATCCCTGTTTCTTAGTAAAGATCTACTCTGAACGAAGGTCAGTGGTACAAATATCCACACACTGGTAGTTTCTAAATATTCTGCAACCAATATCTAGGCAATATTTGAGCAATGTTTTATGCAAATGATTGATATACTTTTTGGATTTCCCAAGGTCCTGAGGCATAACCTTTTCACCTATTTTAACCGGCTATGCTCACTCAAGTCCTGGATGATCTATAACCGTCCACCTGTTTCAGCCTGTTTTAACCGTCCAAGGTTAAAACAGGTGGACGGTTATAGCTCTTTGGCTCACCCCGTCTCAGTGCAGAAGTCACTGCAAGCATCTCTTATTGTATCAAGTCAAGCACCAAGATTCTTGTTGTACCCCTGGAGAATGTTCTGGAAACCCTTAACCCTCAGAGCCAGCTTCAAACCTAGGAAAAACACATCAGGCTAGGAGGAGCGAGATCCTGCTCCCTGTGCTATTCAGGCAGGCTCAGATTGAACAAACACATCCTGGCTCCCAATCTCAGTACTTCTGGGGGCACACACATCCTCAATTTGGAAAGTGACTGGGGGGTTGAGGGGACAGTCCCTATCACGATGTCCTGTTTCAGAAGAACCTCTGATCAGGTTCTAGCATCCAAGAATCCAAAGTCTCTGAAGCCAGAGGGTTTGGGGCACACCTGAGTGGGCGGTGGGGGGTGGAGGGTAACCATGCCCTTTTCCGCATGGGTTGTGGGGAGGGGCAGCCGAGTCCGTTTTCCTCCACCTGGAAAAGGAGTGACAGCGGGCCGGTGGCAGGGCCATCCTCAAACCACACCTGTCTGGGTTTTTGCTGTTTGTCCTGAAGGCCCAGCCAGGCCCCTAACATCCCTGTGTCCCTTAGGGCTCCTGTCACCTCCCTGAGAACACCCTACTTTAACATCCACGTCTGTGCCCTCTCCAACCTGCCTGGCCTGCTGCCCAGTCACAACTGTCACTTCCTTCTCTCCCTCCCCCACCCCTGGGCCTTCACCCCCTCTGCCCGCATACCCCCCATCACTGCCCTCTCCCTGGCTCCTTCCTTCCACTCCCTCCGGGGAGCCTCCTAGGCCAGCGGAGCCCCACAGAGTACAGTGACAAGGGCGTGGTCTTCTCTCCTCTGCCAGCCCCCTTGGCCTTCAGGGTTCCAGGACATCAGAGCAGAATGACTGGTGCACACGAGGAAAAAGCACCAAAGCAACCTCGCTCCTGCAAACCACAAAGCAGTGGGGTGCAACAACTACTCACCCCCCAAGGAAGGACCCTCCTAGGGTGAGCTCTTGTTGGACTAGGGGGCCCCCAAGAGCCTCAGTCCTCTCATCTGCCCCTCACTCTCTTACTCACTCTATTCTAGTCACACTGGCTTCCTTGCTCTATCTCTAACACGCCAGGCCTGGTCCTGCCTCAGGGCCTTTGCACATGCTGGTCCTGCTGCCTGAAATGCTCTTCCTCCAGATGTCCACCTGGCTGGATCCTTCTCATCCTTCGGGTCTCATCCCCCTCCTCGCTATCAGTTCCACAGTAGGTGGGGAGGTGAGGAGTCTCATTTTGTTAACTGTTAGTCCCCAGTGCCTTCCAGTGTAGGCACTTCCTAAGTATATAGTGAATGAACTAATGACAGGAAGACAGGGATGGACAGGAGGTGGGGCCAAGCAGAGGGGTCCCCAGGGCATGGCTGGCAGGGGCTTGACCCCTCCTCAGATACACAGTAGTGGGAGCCTGGGGCAAAATATGGTTTCAAGAGGAGGTAGGGAGAGAGCCAAATTCCTTCTG